CCTTAAACTTTGTGTCAAGATCCTGAATAACATATTTGTTCAGTGGGTTTTAGTACTCAATAGTGTTACATTTTACTCCAATCTAATGAAAACAAGGACGGAAAGAGACATGGACATAGGGCCAATCTGTGCCATTTTGTTTGTTTTAATGAGAATCCTCTTTTCGCCAGAAAAGACCAGAACTGACAACCCAAATCCCATGGTTTCATTTTTTTCGCCTCAAAAAGATGAGAAATAATTCACCCATATTCTGGTTGTTTTGTCTGTTCGTCCCAAAAAGAGTACAATCAAAAACTGTTTTTTTTCTTTTTTTTTCTCTGTCTTTTTGCCCCAAAAAGGATGAAAATCAACAAACCTTGTTTCTTCCTTTTCCCCGTCAAAAAGACATTTTTTTCGTCTATTTGCCTTAAAAAGAGGAGAAATAATAATCATTCTTTCATCTCTTCGCCCTAATAGTTACTTAACCTCATCCATTCAGGGCGATAAGACAAAACAATGAAATGGTACAAATTAGCCAAGATAGTAATGTAACAGTACAATTATAGACTCTATGCAATCTAATTAAATTAGACTTGTAATTCCGCTACTCTACCATACACTCCAAAACTGGAGTGTGTCGTAGGGGATCGTAGAGCAGCAGAATTACAAGTCTGCTTTTAATTAGATTGATTCTCTATGCTAAGGGCATGCACTCCCATTATGAAACAAGAAAATGAAATCGTGCTGGTTTACTGGAATGGATGACAACAGTCATGATTATGCTTATTTAGTAAGATAATGATACAAACAAATGTATTACACTAATAGTGTTTGACAGGCAAACATACTTTTCAAATTTAAGAAACTTGTACATAAATTTAACAAATAATATCAAATCATCTTAAATGCAAATCTGAAAGATGAACTACAGGAATACAGTTTATACAGGAATACAGTTTATGTTACATTAGCTGCTAATTATATTAAAATTTTCAAATCAAATTTTTATTTTATTAAAATTATTTAATTTTCAAAAATCAATATTTTATACACAAATGATTTAATTAAAAAAACCCAGGAAACTTATCAAATAACAGCACATCTTTGAAATAAAATTGAATTAAACTTTAAAGCTGACTCATCATATCAATAAGCTGATGAAGACATAAAACAGCAGCCAGGGTCCTGTTCGTTTATGTGGAACAACCGGTTTGCCTATATTATTAAATGTAACATATTTCAGGTTAAAATCCTGGCAGACCTGCAAATGTTTATACATGCCTTGGCAAGTCTTTCTAAAGGCTCGCCTGAAAGCAGCATAAGATTACTGGGTCCGACCTTATTTCATAAACGAACAACTCTGGTCCGACCGATCTAACAGTTTGAATTGTGATAAATGTAAGTGGACCTGTTCACTAACGCTAAATGGGAGACAACTCATGATGTACTGGTGTACAATACAAAATATTAAGAATATAAATTACTATTATGTACACTGTACTTGAATTGAACAGTCCTTCCTACATTTGGAAGGGCCTTTATAAAAATGTCCATATATAAATACTATACATAAGTTACAAAACTTCAACTTATACACAACACTCAAATATAATGTACCAGTATGGATGTATTCATTGCACAGTTGAATAAACAATTCTCAAATCAATTTAATTTAAAAACATGGAATCCAAAAAACCCACCCCATTTAATTTAGATTAGCATACAAAGATATCAACAAATATATCAGAAAACCATTGAACAAATTTCTCATTTAAAAATCAGGCATCTGAAAAAACGAATTTCAATTCTAATTTAAATAAGCATATACATCAACAAATACACAGTTCAATCGAAATGTCAGAAACTTGTGGCATAAATTTCTCATATAAAAATAAGGCATCCGTGAAATTTTTCGTGGAAACATTGATTGACCATGGTCAATGTTCGTAAATAAAATTATATCCAGCACATTTTAAACTGAATGGATTTCATATTTACAAGTACAGAACTTATGTACTTCAAATTGTCTTAGTGGAAATAAACCACCTACATGCAAATAAACATTTTATATAAAATTAAACAATACAATCATATCACATATCATGTCACATGTGGGTGGGGGACGGTACGGTGGGCGAGTGGTTTAAGTGGGGGACTGTACAGTGGGCGAGTGGTTTAAGTGGGGGATGATACTGTGTCCAAGTGGTTTAAGTGGGGGATGGTATGGTGGGGGAGTGGTTTAAGTGGGGGACGGTACGGTGGGCGAGTGGTTTAGGTGGGGGATGATACTGTGGGCAAGTGGTTTAAGTGGGGGATGGTACGGTGGGCGAGTGGTTTAAGTGGGGGATGATACTGCGTCCAAGTGGTTTAAGTGGGGGATGGTACGGTGGGCGAGTGGTTTAAGTGGGGGATGATACGGTGGGCGAGTGGTTTAAGTGGGGGATGATACTGCGTCCAAGTGGTTTAAGTGGGGGATGATACGGTGGGCGAGTGGTTTAAGTGGGGGATGGTACGGTGGCTGAGTGGTTTAAGTGGGGGATGGTACGGTGGCCGAGTGGTTTAAGTGGGGGATGGTACAGTGGTCAAGTGGTTTAAGTGGGGGATGGTACGGTGGGCGAGTGGTTTAAGTGGGGGATGGTAGTGTGGTCGAGTGGTTTAAGTGGGGGATGGTACGGTGGGCGAGTGGTTTAAGTGGGGGACTGTACAGTGGGCGAGTGGTTTAAGTGGGGGATGATACTGTGTCCAGGTGGTTTAAGTGGGGGATGGTACGGTGGGCGAGTGGTTTAAGTGGGGGATGATACTGTGTCCAGGTGGTTTAAGTGGGGGATGGTACGGTGGGCGAGTGGTTTAAGTGGGGGACGGTACGGTGGGCGAGTGGTTTAAGTGGGGGACTGTACAGTGGGCGGGTGGTTTAAGTGGGGGATGATACTGTGTCCAAGTGGTTTAAGGGGGGGACGGTACGGTGGGCGAGTGGTTTAAGTGGGGGATGGTAGTGTGGTCGAGTGGTTTAAGTGGGGGATGGTACGATGGCCAAGTGGTTTAAATGGGGGATGATGGTACTGTGGTCGAGTGGTTTAAGTGGGGGCTGGTACGATGGCCGAGTGGTTTAAGTGGGGGATGGTACGATGGCCGAGTGGTTTAAGGGGGGGATGGTACGATGGCCGAGTGGTTTAAGTGGGAGATGGTACGGTGGCCAAGTGGTTTAAGTGAGGGATGGTACGATGGCCGAGGGGTTTAAGTGGGGGATGGTACGGTGGCCAATTGGTTTAAGTGGGGGATGGTACGGTGGTCGAGTGGTTTAAGTGGGGGATGGTACGGTGGGCGAGTGGTTTAAGTGGGGGACGGTACGGTGGGCGAGTGGTTTAGGTGGGGGATGATACTGTGTCCAAGTGGTTTAAGTTGGGGATGGTATGGTGGGGGAGTGGTTTAAGTGGGGGACGGTACGGTGGGCGAGTGGTTTAGGTGGGGGATGATACTGTGGGCAAGTGGTTTAAGTGGGGGATGGTACGGTGGGCTAGTGGTTTAAGTGGGGGATGGTACTGTGGTCAAGTGGTTTAAGTGGGGGATGGTACGATGGCCAAGTGGTTTAAATGGGGGATGATGGTACTGTGGTCGAGTGGTTTAAGTGGGGGATGATACGATGGCCGAGTGGTTTAAGTGGGGGATGGTATGGTGGCCGAGTGGTTTAAGTGGGGGTTGGTACGATGGCCGAGTGGTTTAAGTGGGGGATGGTATGGTGGCCGAGTGGTTTAAGTGGGGGTTGGTACGATGGCCGAGTGGTTTAAGTGGGGGATGGTATGGTGGCCGAGTGGTTTAAGTGGGGGATGGTACGATGGCCGAGGGGTTTAAGTGGGGGATGGTACGGTGGCCAAGTGGTTTAAGTGAGGGATGGTACGATGGCCGAGGGGTTTAAGTGGGGGATGGTACGGTGGCCAAGTGGTTTAAGTGAGGGATGGTACGATGGCCGAGTGGTTTAAGTGGGGGATGGTACGATGGCCGAGTGGTTTAAGTTTTGACAGGCTCTTTGATCACTAGCCTTCTCGCACTGGGTTTGGGTTTGAGGACTACAAGAGTCGCCAGATAATAGATACAGGTTGTTTTTCCCCCGGGTACTCCCCTGCTTTCCCCCACCACCACCTGGCATATCCTTAAATGGCCACAGCAGTTAAGAGGACATAGACAACCAAACAATCGTCACACTGCTTATAACTAGGTTACCATCGTGTTTCCTTAAACTTTTGCTGAAATCGAAGATAATTGAATCGGCAAATAATGCCAGACCATGCAATTAAAGCACCTATACTGAATACCTGGGAAAGTTCACGCCGTCATATACAATTTACAGGTAAAATATATATTCAACCAATGATAATGTCACCTTTTTAATGTGTTAATTTAGTAATGGATATTCGCCATGCTGTGCATAAACATATATGTATATATGTCAAAAACATTTGACCTCATTAGGGAGGGCAGAGAAAGTGAAAGTAAAACAGTGGTAAAACATTATACAAGGTGTACAGAATGTGACACAAAAATATAAATAAATATAAAAGATAGTTTCTCATGAAATATTTTTTGTTTTTGTTTTTGTTTTGTTTTTGTAAAATGCCCAATTTTTCACTATGTTGAAAAGAATCCCAATATTAAATAAAAATGTATCACAGCAACAAAATTTCACTCTTAATTAGTATAGTTGACACAACAAACAAGCGATTCAGCGGTCTAATGGAAAACAAATTATCTCCTATCCTGTCCAGGGTAAGAAAGGGGTGTAAGAAATTCTCAATGGCTCAACAATGATGACCTCACAAATTTGAAAAACCCTCGGGTGAAATTTCCCTATCCTACACCCCCGGGCATGAAAGAGTCTTATAATATTAAAAAAAAAACCCATTGTAAAATACATAATCAAAAAGATTCATTATTAGTAAAAAAAAAAATAACACAAAGAGAATGTATATTTAACTCATTCACCCCTGAAATATCACAATGAACTATTCCAATCTTATATTGAAAGAGTTCAAATGCGTCTTCAGGGGTGAATGAGTTAAAGCATAACCATGTAAAAGTATTTCTCTTCTATACCTGATCAATAAAGTGGCTTATGTTTACATGAATGTGCAAGACTACAAATCTAAGAGGTGGGAATATCTATGCCAGAAACACTTGACACTGTGATGCTGTCATTCCATATGAAGACATTTGTTTTCTGATTCTGTTAGCGTCATGTTAAATGCTGTGATTACAATTACCATTGTGTACAGAAAAAGTCATGATAACACACATCAAATATATAAATGCATATTATAATTTAATTTATAAAATATGGTCCATCATAATTACAAATAAATATAAATTGTTCATCTAAAAATCTGATTAAAACAAGAATAATATAAAAAAAAACATGGTGAAAACTTTTCTAAAATGGTTTGCAAGCACATTAACTTGTGTTTTGTTCTGTGTTATGTATAAATAATTGCCTGACAGAAAAAATACATTTTTGATCAATCCTGAATATGAATTAATGAAAAAAGAATGGAATCATGTAGAAATTCATAGCAAAGCTACTGTATTGCTTTGGTAAAACTATTCAGGAAATTTATCATCTAACATTTCAAGTTAAGTAGCACTACAGACCAAACAAGTATTAACTAATAAATTCAACACAACATTAGTAATACAATTCCCATCTAAACAGGGAAATAACTTCTATATCAAACCGTTACTATAAAATATCGAGTTACCAAACTTATTAATGGCACCAAAAACTCTTAAAAATGTCATAGCTTGACAGAGGGACCAGTCGGTCTTGAAACGTCGCAACACGTTTTATACATACATCGTTGGTGTATAAAGTAAAACTTTGATAAATTATTATAATATTATTGAAGATATTTAAATATATGTTTTAGATTCAAGTTTGAATTCACCAATTTTTAGTCCATAACAACTGAGAAGTCGTCCCAGCTAAAACTGTATAAATGCAATTTGTTATTTTCATAGGAAAAATATTTTGTGAATAATTAATAGGAGTTATTCACAAGGTTTTGATTTTGTGAATTGCCAAATGAGTAAAAAAAAACTAGTTTTCTTACATGTTTCAATAAAATATTTGCATATACAGTCGAAATACTGATATCTAATAAATGCAAGTTTGGTTAAAAAAGCAACAGTTAATTACACATGCTCGTCCAAATCAGCATGATCATCAAGCAACAGACACTTTCAAGGTTTTGCTCTCCATAATAATCAATGGAATATTAAAGATGAAAAAATAAAAACAGGGAAAAGGTTAAATATAAATAATATGCAAAAATCATTCAATTCTACTGTCCTTTAATTTCTGCCGTTATCAATGGGACCCGATTTACCAAAGTTAATGGGATTCTCCCAGTCAAATGGAATATTCCTTCACAAAGTTGATCGAATATGACACCAAAGTTTATAGGACACAACACTCTGTCAGAGTTAGTGTGTTTACCCATATAAAATTAACGAGATACTCCCTGTCAGAGTTAGTGTGTTTACCAATATTAAATTAACAAGATATTCCCTGTCAGAGTTAGTGTGTTTACCCATATATAATTAACAAGTAACTCCCTGTCAGAGTAAGTGTGTTTACCCATATAAAATTAACGAGATACTCCCTGTCAGAGTAAGTGTGTTTACCCATATATAATTAACAAGTAACTCCCTGTCAGAGTAAGTGTGTTTACCCATATAAAAGTAAGGAGATATTCCCTGTCAGAGTTAGTGTGTTTACCCATATATAATTAACAAGTAACTCCCTGTCTGAGTTAAGCAATCAACTGCATTTTTTCCTCCTGGCTTATCCTTATACCTTCCATGTCCTCTTCATTCATTTGATCCCATTCCTCCATTTTCTGTCTTTTCTTTATCTTCTTTGGTCTCATACGTACTTTGTTCTCTTCTTTCTCTAAATTTTTCCGATTTTCTTTATCAACTTTCAGTTCATCAGTACTCTTGTTATCTTGCTTCCTCACAGGAAGTTGGTCCGCAGTAACTGTAAGCTGATCTGCAGCAACAGGAAGTAGGTCCACAGCAACAGGAAGTTGGTCCGCAGTAACTGGAAGCTGATCTCCAGCAATAGGAAGTTGGTCCGCAGTAACTGGAAGCTGATCTCCAGCAACAGGAAGTTGGTCCGCAGCACCAGGAGCATGGTTTCTTTCTGTGTAGTCGACAGGATCACCGATGGCGTCTTGTAGTCGCTGCCAGAAGTGTGGCTGTATATCCTTGTCCGTCCAGTCCAGGAATGTTTTACCCATAAGTTTAGCTGGAACTTTACACTGATCAAACTTGATGAGAATCAGCACGTCCTTTCTCTGAAACAGTGGTTAAGATTAAAATTCTGATGTAAATATCATGTTAAATAATTTGTTTATTTTAGAATAAAATCCTCACTCCCTAAGCTCATTATGCTTGTCCACTTTGTGTCCAAGACCCTGAAACACATATTTGCTTCAGGTATGAGCATTTTGGGTTTTGTCGAAATCAGAAATGAAAAGAAGACCGAGTAATATGTGACAAAAACAATATTCTATAGTAATACACAAACTGTAATGGCTTCAATACTTTGGAACCAAAACCTTAAAATACTAATTTGTTTTAAGTACTTGTATACTTCATACTTTAAAAAATTCATTGAAACCAAATTAATTCACCCAACAGAACAAAGTCAGAATTTCTATTTATAGTAAGTGCCCTTGACCTTGGATCTACATCCCTGCAAACTTGTTAGAGGTATTTGTAATTGTGTAAGTTTCACAAAAATCATAAGAAGACCAGTTTTTTTTTTTGAAGTGTTCTTGGTCTAGCTTTGATGAGTAAGATCTAACACAATGTCAAACCATTGAACTAGAGTTACGTACTATGTAATACCAAAGTCAGTGTAGCAAAACATATAACTGGTAGGTCACAGTGACCTGATTTGATGAATCAATATTAGGAGTTAAATTGCAACTGTCTTTCTAGTATTAGAGGTTATTGAGTTTTATGAAGGGACAGACAGGAAGGCAAATACTTAAAGCCCCTCTGCTATGTAGAATGTGCATAATTTGTGCAAGCAGAGCTGTAACAAAGATTCTTTATTTAAAGTTAAAACAATCTTGACCCAGGATCTGTGTTAAGAATACTTGCGTAAATGTAAGACTGAATAACTGAACTGAGAAATGAAGGTATATCGCAATGATACTAGATATTGACAGATGGTGTACAGGCAGACATGGGTGATTCGAAGCCCCCATACCATTTCATAAAGTGCGTAAAACTGGGCATAAATACATGAATATACCTTGACCAAAGAGAAGAAAAACCTTTTCTGAATAGTAGCTCGATATAAAGATTACATGAAAGTAATATAAAATGTTTTAATTTGGCTTGGGACAATGGGCTTAATCTTTACATGTACTTACTAATGTTTAAATAATCTTGCCTCAAGTTCTTAAACACTAACAATGTATTCACTATATCATGATTAGATCAAGTTTCCTCTGGCCTTGACACCAGACTTAAGACATTTTGACAGATAAATGTCTGTTGTAGGGCCAGAGCGCACTACTATATGAAAACATGGAATTACCGTTTGGTATCAGAAGTGACTAATCAACAAAAAGATGTGGTCCAGAAATCTTCTAAACAAGAATAATAGCCTCTGTTTTCGGTCAGGATCAGTACGGTTTGTTTAATAGTGAGTCACTCACATGATTTACAAAATGGCATTCGCTCATGTGGGAAGTTTTGAACGATTGAAAACCTAGGACTTTACTGACGGAATTAAGCAGGTGTTTGGTGATGATAAGAGCTGATTTGGATCAATAAATAATCCATTTATAGATATATGTGAGGTATGTGTTGTGTCATAGTAGATTGTTGTTGTCAGCATCTCATAACTCTCCGATACCAAACGGTGTCGGATGATTCCACGTTTTCATATCGGAGTGTGCTCTGGCTTCACACCAGACATCTATCTGTCAAAATGTCTAAGTCTTGTGTCAGGCCAAGAGGAAACTCGTGTGATGTTCAGAAATGACTTTGATCTCTAACCTGGGCAATAGCCTTGTTGTGGGCCTGCTGCAGTTCAAACTGTCCCCACATTGACTTCAGGAAATTTCTCGACATCAGGACAATAGTCTTGCGACTTTTGTAGATGGAATCCATGACATTTTCTGCAATGGCCATCCCTGTGAATAAACAAAATAACTGTTTAGAACAGCATATTATACAATGTGCAGTTAATTAATTGTATTTTCTCTACATATTAAACGAGACAGGAGATCCCGGGTGGCCGAGGGTTAAGGCATCTGACATTCTGACACCACTATCCCTACTATATGGATTCAAACCCAAAGTGAAGTTTCCATGTTTTCAATTTGAAAAATCAGAACTGTCTAATAAAACCATTCAAAGAGAGACTATTATCTGTAAATAAATTCTCTATAGCTATGGTTGTAAAGAAATGCTAAATTATAAAATACTGTTTATAGTGTAGCCGAGGAAAAAAGGAGTCGAGACTACAATGTATACTGAATCCCCAGCACTCGGTAGCAAATGACCGCGGTGACAAATGACCGCGGTGACAAAGGACCTCGGTGACAAAGGACCTCTGTAGCAAATGACCGCTGTGACAAATGACAAATGACCTCGGTGACAAATGACCTCGGTGAAAAATGACAAATGACTTCAGTGACAAATGACCGCGGTGACAAATGACCTCGGTGACAAATGACAAATGACTTCAGTGACAAATGACCTCAGTGACAAACGACCTCGGTGACAAATGACCTTGGTAGCAAATGACCTCGGTGACAAATGACCTCGGTGAAAATGACCTCGGTGACAAATGACCTCAGTAGCAAAGGATGTCGGTGACAAATGTCCTCGGTGACAAAAGCCAGTTCTGAATTACCTGGTACAAAGTCTTTAAAATCTATGTTTACGTTGTAGCCCATGTTGAGAAGCTGCTTGAAGAGTTTGGTTTTAACCCATTCCTCATCTTCACTACTGTAGGAGATGAAGACATCATGCTCAAGGTGATAGCCTGGCACTGCGGGAAAAAGCAAAACAATTACACACAGTCTTAAGTATTCCTATTCCACCGCAGGCAAAACACTGGAGAGTTCCACTGTCTCTAAACTGAACTAGGTTTCTATCGTTGGTCGTGTAGCTGAGTTGGTTAGAAAACAGTACATACTGTATAATGATTGAAGTATCAAAGGTTCTACTCCACTTCTGGCCCTGTTGTTATTCAAGGTATTCCATGTATAATTAGAAACGTATAGATATGTCTGCCTTTATTAGCAAATAGACAAACTTTGGTATGAAAATATAGTGGGGCACGAGACCCGAATTTGGAATGTGACACTCCTACTTCCCAAGACACATTAAAACTATAGAAAGTTTGGTCAACGTAGGTAAAATAACATGGAACTTATGCTCTAGACAAACTTCAATATAAAAAATAAACAAAGGGCAATAACTCTGTATAAAGTGGGGCACAATACCTATTTCTAGTATACTGCACACGTTCTTTGGGTGATGCATGCATACCTCAAGTGTCATTAAGATATCTGTAATGGTTTAAAAGTTATGGCCCGGACAAGTTGCGATAAGAAGAACAAGAAGAAGAACCAGTACTAATAAAATATGTCTCACTTCATTTGAAGGGGAGACGTAATGATTATTTTTTTCACTTCGAAAAAATTGTGTATTATACATGGAATTCCTTAACCCTTTCACCACTGTTGACCATAATGGACTCATCCAGATGAATGTATGGTGGAGTCTACTCTAGTTACCTCGGGGTGAAAGGGTTAACACTCAGATCACTATTGTTGATTTTTTTTAGCTCATACTTATTTATTTTTTTGATTCATAAAAATACTCTGCAAGGTATAATGCTTGTCTTCCAGAAATGAATTATTAATGCTTCAGTCATGCCAGGAAAGTAATTTTGGATGCACAGTTACTCTTTTTGACCCGTGTTTCCAGTATCCCTTATTTTTTGTGCCTACCATTCATTTTTTCAGGCAATTTTCGAAGATTTCAAGATCACTCTTCTATATAAACCATATAAATTATTTCTTAACTATAAATTCTATTACCTACCTCCCTACCCTAAATTTTTAAATGTTACAGGAAACACATTTGATTTTTATTTGGCCTAAAAATGTCATTTCGCTTACCATCATACTTTTCTGGATCAGGAGGAGGCCAATCTATCTGGTCCTTCCGTCGTTTCACTTGTATCACCATGAGAACCACAAACATGGTTAATACTAGAAATCCTCCGGCTGATATCACAGCAATCTGCCACATTGCCAATACATCTCCTGTATCTGAACCTTAAAAGCATACAGAAAGACAAAAATAATAATAATTATTTTTAACCAAATCAAATCTCATAATTTAATTTCATATTTCTAAAATTCTTTTAACTCGCAGAAACACATTTTTGGCATTTTGACTCTAGTAGATCTTCATTCACAAATACATGAATATAAGACTTAAAATGCATCAATCTTAGGTGTGAGAATTGTGAGAAGCAGCTACATTCAGTTCAAAATCATTGTTTAAGGTTTCTAGAGCCAACACTGTGTACTTTATGTGTTCTGTAGGGGGTTCCAGTATCCCTCTCTTGGATACCTAAAGGTATACAGGGCAGTTCAGGAACAGGGCAAAGCTAAAGGATAAACTGGTAATAATTGGGTCTTATCATCTATCCAATCAGAATCTAATATTATATCAAGCATGTAACAATTCAAACAATTAGTCATAACCAATCTTTGACATTAGGACCTACCTGGTATGTACTGTTGTAGAGTAATGGTTTTGTTATCTGTGCCGTAGCTGTTTTCTGCCACACAAACATAATCTCCCAAATCTTCACTCTATTTTTCACAAAAATGTAAAATGAAACTTAGGTCACGGCTATAGTTCTTGGCTTATATACATTTAGCAATGAATATTAGTTTCAACAATATTGTCTGTTTAAATATACAATGTAAATGAAATTTGACCATTTCTCCCACCCTTTTCACTGATCTGTCTCCTATTTTAGCCACAGAGAGATGTCACATGCTATACATCAGAAGATACACTGTGTATAGAGAATAAAACATGCCTTTTTTCATATCACACCCAGTATCAACCCGAGACACCAAGATCAGACGAAGGTGTTATTAACACAGATTTGACTGTATACTTATTGTGACGTTGGTGATATTAACACAGATTTGACTGTATACTAACTGTGACGTTGGCGATATTAACACAGATTTGACTGTATACTAACTCTGACGTTGGTGATATTAACACAGATTTGACTGTATACTAAATGTGACGTTGGTGATATTAACACAGATTTGACTGTATACTAACTGTGACGTTGGCGATATTAACACAGATTTGACTGTATACTAACTGTGACGTTGGCGATATTAACACAGATTTGACTGTATACTAACTGTGACGTTGGTGATATTAACACAGATTTGACTGTATACTAACTGTGACGTTGGTGATATTAACACAGATTTGACTGTATACTTACTGTGATGTTGGTAATATTCAGGATCAACTCCTTCCTGCCATTCTCATGATTTAAATTGTCCCAGGTGTAGTGAGAGTCGTCCTCCAGCTTAGTTCCATTTCTCTTCCAAAATCGCTCCAGCTAAAATACAGAAAACAGATTATCTAAATGAGAAAAAAAGACACAAAAAGAACAATAGCGATTTTCAAAATTTAGGTTTTTCTCCAAGTGCTCTTCATCGGATTATTTATACCAGGCAGGCTTTTAGCCAGGATTTCAGATGTCCCTGTCCAAAACGTTGATATTATAACCAGTTTTAAAAAACTGCCCGTCAAAATTGATATACAATAGTAAGGTTATATAACGGGGGCTGACAAATAGCCTGATAACAGGACTGAAATATTGTTTACCTAAACCCACAATGCTGGAATTATTTACATCTTACAGTGTATTGGGTATTTCATAAATATCAAAGCATAGAACAAGTATATAATACACAAACTTTGTATATTTCACAACAATTATTAAATACGTTTTTCCAACATCTAATAATCACTCTTGTTGGCTCGAGTGAAGCAAATAGAGGTTTTTAATATGTAAGGAAAATCGGAATGCCAAGATAAATCTGAAGTGGTCGGGCAGGTCACTGAGGTGACCCAATACCTTTTCATGTCTGATCTAGGATTGGAACCACTAACATCTCGCTGAAAGGTGACTACACAATACACTGTACCACCCAACAATCCATATTATCATTACACTGCACCGCCCAACAATCCATATTATCAATACGCTCTACCACCCAACAATCCATATTATCATTACTCTGTACCACCCAACAATCCATATTATCATTACACTACCCCACCCAACAATCCATATTATCATTACTCTGTACCACCCAACAATCCATATTATCAATATACATATTATCATTACACTACACCCCCCAACAATCTATATTATCATTACACTCCACCACCAAACAACCCATATTATCATTACACTGTACCACCCAAAAATCCATATTATCATTACACTGCACCACCCACCAATCCATATTATCATTACACTACACCCCCCAACAATCCATATTATCATTACCCTCCACCCCCCAACAATCTATATTATCATTACACTGCACCACCCAACAATCCATATTATCTTTACACTACACCACCCAACAATCCATATTATCAATACACTGTACCACCCAACAACAATCCATATTATCATTACACTGTCCCACCCAACGATCCATATTATCATTACACTGTACCACCCAAAAATCCATATTATCATTACACTGCCCCCCCCAACAATCCATATTATCAATATACTGTACCACCCAACAATCCATATTACTGAAAGGTGACTACACAATACACTGTACCCCCCAACAATCCATATTATCATTCCACTGCACCACCCAACAATCCATATTATCAATACACTGTACCACCCAACAACAATCCATATTATCATTACACTGTCCCACCCAACAATCCATATTATCATTACACTGTCCCACCCAACAATCCATATTATCATTACGCTGCACCACCCAACAATCCATATTATCATTACACTGTACCACCCAACAATCTATATTATCAATACACTGCACCACCCAACAATCTATATTATCATTACACTACACCACCCAACAATCCATATTATCATTACACTGTCCCACCCAACAATCTATATTATCAATACACTGCACCACCCAACAATCCATGTAGTCAATACACTGCACCACCCAACAATCCATATTTTCAATACACTGCATCACCCAACAATCCATATTTTCAATACACTGTACCACCCAACAATCCATATTATCATTACACTTTACCACCCAACAATCTATATTATCATTACACTGTACCATCCAACAATCTATATTATCAATACACTGCACCACCCAACAATCTATATTATCATTACACTGTACCACCCAACAATCTATATTATCACTACACTGCACCACCCAACAATCCATGTAGTCAATACACTGCATCACCCAACAATCCATATTTTCAATACACTGTACCACCCAACAATCCATATTATCATTACACTGTACCACCCAACAATCTATATTATCAATACACTGTACCACCCAACAATCTATATTATCACTACACTGCATCACCCAACAATCCATATTATCAATATACTGTATCACCCAACAATCCATGTTATCAATACACTGTACCACCCAACAACAATCCATATTATCATTACACTGTACCACCCAACAATACATGTTATCAATACACTGCACCACCCAACAATCTATATTATCATTACACTGTACCACCCAACAATCCATGTTATCAATACACTGCACCACCCAACAATCCATGTAATCAATACACTGTACCACCCAACAATCTGTATTATCATTACACTGTACCACCCAACAATCTATATTATCACTACACTGCATCACCCAACAATCCATATTATCAATATACTGTACCACCCAACAATCCATGTTATCAATACACTGTACCACCCAACAACAATCCATATTATCATTACACTGTACCACCCAACAATCCATGTAATCAATACACTGTACCAGCCAACAACAATCCATATTATCAATATAATGTACCACCAAACAATCCATGTTATCATTACCCTGTACCACCCAACAACAATATTAAGTTTACTAAAGTTACATAGGGGTGCCACTTTATCATTACACTGCACCACCCAACAATCTGTATTATCATTACACTGCACCACCCAACAATCTGTTTTATCAATCAGAAAAATGAGTGTTCAATGATCCCTCTCACTTTGGGCAAAACACTGGAGAATTTTGCATATATGTCTTGCATACACTGTGAGACAGTTACCTCCCCTTAATTTCATCTTGGTTGTACAACAGTAGTGGAACCAGGCCAGGGATCTACAACTGAACCGGCAGCTCATTGTTTAGCCCTTTAACCACTGTAGACCATAATGGACTCATCCAGATCAAAGCATGGAAGAGTTTACTAAAGTTACATAGGGGTGAAAGGGTTAAAGCCACACACTGTGATCTGGATTTAGGGCTTGGAATCCTAGTCTGACCCCATTGCAACAAACCTAAATCACTCTTTGAATTTTTTTTTATTTTTTTTTTATTTCATTTCAATGTATGTGTAGCTGAACTTGACTGGCTCGATCATCGACGACCTGGTAGCTCAATTGGTAGAGTGTCCGTCTAGAGTTTGGAGTGTCCCGGGTTTCAATCCCTGTATAGCCCTAGCATTTCTCTTTCTCCTGTTACGAAATTTGCAAGTTTACCAACCCTTGTTTCCAGCACTGGGTGAATGATTGGCAAGGGGATAATGGAATCTGGTTTGTAAGTAGTTTTGTCTTCGGGATCGAAGACTTACAAAAAGGAGCGAGGAATGTAGCAGAACTGGACTTTGACACCATCGACGACCAGGTACAAATAAAGCTTAATTATTAGAGCGGCAGTTTCAAGTTGGAGGGTCCCCGGTTTGAACCCCAGTCTGGCTGTTACATTTCTCTTTCCCATGTTACATAATGCACATATTGTATTCAAGAAACTTTCACAAAGTACAGGTTTCTTTTCAGAAATAATTTATTAAAGGGGCCTAGAGAAATGACATGGAGCTAAGGAAGACAGATCAAGGCTTTCTATAATGCTCCGATAGGGGCCTAGAGAAATGACATGGAGCTAAGGAAGACAGATCAAGGCTTACTATAATGCTCCGATAGGGGCTTAGAGAAATGATATGGAGCTAAGGAAGACAGATCAAGGCTTACTATAATGCTCCGATAGGGGCCTAGAGAAATGACATGGAGCTAAGGAAGACAGATCAACGCTTACTATAGTCTATAATGCTCCGATAACAATGACGCTCCTGAGAAAGATTAAAATTTCATATCCGAGACCTCTTAAAAAATAACTATTTCTTATCTCGGTCTGTTTTAGGCATATCACTGACAGGTGATTTGACACTGATTAAACATTTCACATGACCTTGCAGATTCTCTTAAGTCTATGCCTGCACAGACCTGAAGATCGGATTCACTTACAGCAATCATAAAATTCTACCAAGGTGTATTCTTCACCTCACCAAACTAATGTTTCGATATATATAAATACAAAAATTATTGATCCGAGAAATGGAAGTAATATCATAATCTGACATTTGAGATTGCACAAGATTATCATGTGGATGATTGGATGTATAAATCCATGAAATCTACAACACAGTACACCTTAATCAAACACAAGTGTGTTGTGTTTTATAGCTTTTTATATTAAACCTATATATATAATCATTCTAGATATTATTCATTATTATTGCAGATTAATAACTAATAAATGGTATTTTAATTTAATTTTCATACAACATATGATGAAATTTTTAGAATGCCTAGACACCAACCTGGAAATTTTGAAATCAATTTATTTAAGGGAGATAACTGTAACTCAAATCGAAGGTTTGGTTTGTTTGTGTTTTACGTCCTATTAATAGTAATGGTCATTAAAGGACGTGCCAGGTTTTGGTGGTGGAGGAAAGTTGGAGTTCCCAGAGAAAACCACCACCTACAGCCAGTACCTGGCGGCTGCCCACGTAGGTCTCGAACCCGCGACCCCGTGGTGTAGGGCTAGTGGTAGCAGAATGTCAGACGCTTAAACCACTTGGCCATCGCGGACCCTAAAATCAGAGGTACTAATGTTCAATGTAGCATGCATCTTAAAACAAAGTGAATAAAACTGTAACATTAAATAAATTACCATCATTGCCATTGACCCTACTGTCATGGTACAGCTGATCTGGGTGCTGTCTCCCAGAGAAACGACCTTGACCCTGTTGATTGGAGATGTCTCCACAATACTTGGTGCATCTGCTGGAGCAATGGCTAGAAAACAACAAAATTTCATGACAACATGAAACATTTTATTCAAAATGAGATTCACCAGTACGGTATTATTAACAAATGCTTAGTTTGTTTTGAACACAAACAGTAATTGAAAACTCATTTTGCGAGATTTTGAAAACGTGTTTCCTTTGTCAAGTACAAAGAGTGCGAAATCCAAGGTTAGCTGTTATGAAAAATTTCAATTGTCTACGAAGATGACCAGTTGTGCATTGGAAATGTGATGTAACAATAAGAACAAAATGTCATTTCTTGTAAAGTGTATTCACTTAATATCACTTCTCATTTGTCATAGGAAAACATGACATTAACTGGAATGTGACATGTACAAAAGACATCTTTTTCTGACCTTTGTTTTAACTCTCTAAACCCTGCAGTGACCATATTTAATATGGTCTATTATTAAAATGTTCAAGTGATATGGTTTTACAAAGATGATTGTTTAATAAAGATATTTGTAAAATTGTGTGGCTATTTTCTTTATTAACAGTGAAATAATCATCGTGCCAACTTTGACACATTTGAGTAAACCAATAGATTTTTGATTATAATTGATCATCAGCCCATCACTACTTCATTGACAGGTTTAAGACTGGTAAAAATACTTACGGACAACTATTTCATATCCACTGTATGTACACGTGTGTCCAACACTGTCAGTTACTGTGCAGGCATACATTCCCTGATCAGTATTCATTAATGGCGGCCAGATCTCCAGAACCTGGTTTTCATTTTTAAAGAGGGCAGTTCTGTTGTCAAGGATTGTAAAAAATCTTGCTGGTTTTTTTGGGGGGGGAGGGGGGAGAGGATTTAAATCAACAAAAGATCAAGCGAAAGACATGCCTTTTTTTTTTTATCTTATATTAATGCAGCCAAGGGGTCATGTTTCTCACTGAAGTCCAGGTCAGATACAAGGTGTCAGGGTCAGATACACGGTGTCGGGTCATGTTTCTGAATGTGTTCATGTGTCGGTACCATCAAGATCATCTTTTTATTTTGAAATCATTGTCAGGTATTACTTATAGAGATTAAATACAGAGATTAAAATATTTACAAATTTTCAAACTTATCATCAGAAAACACATACTATAGCAAATCTGATAAATTTGTTCTTCAAAGGGATAGTTTGTAAATAAATGATTGAGTGATTCATCAAAGCTAGGCACAACAGAGTCTTAATTTATGCATAAAAGGATATTGGTCTGATGGGCTAATCACTTTTCCATCTTTAGTCCATGTCATGTTGAAGCTTGGAGTAACATTCTGATTCACAGTACAAGTAAACGTTAGCATGCTGGACCCTCCTGCCATGTGTGGACTATCAGGCCACCGAGGACTGGGGCTAAATCTGGGTCCTTCGGAGCTAATGCAGTTTCCAGACATATGGCTGTCGGTGATTTCCGTAGCAACATTCAGATTTGAGAGAAATGTAAGGGAGATAATAAATCCGAGTAGCGCCATTCTTCACAGTTAATGCGAGTAATCTGTTAAAACAAAAGTAACAGGTTTTTTTAAACTGACAATAAAATATTGAAAAGACTATTTAGGCTAGACAAAAAGCCTGTAACATGTTTCAAACATTTAGGGTAGGTAGGTAGGTAAACAGTTTTATTGTAACAAATAATTTCATATACATGTAGTTCATATAGGAGAGTGGTCTTGACTTTCACAGTGCTTTTCTGAAAATTGCCTTAAAAAGTTTAGGGTAGGCACAAAAAAATAGGGTAGGTAGGGTAACCTGAAATATTTTTTGTTTGGCCTTAAAGTCTTTCTTTGTTATCAATTATAACAATCTGTAACTTACTGAATAACGACAGACTGTACAACAGAATTTTTAATAAAAACAACAACTAGTATTTACATAGTACAGCTTCATGTTACAGGTATAATTTAACATAGCACAGCTTCATGTTACAGGTATAATTTAACAGAACAGGAAGCAGGGTATTGTTACTACCTGTTAAGTGGTCCATCAACACCGGACTGGTTATTAGGGCCAACAAATGGTTGATAAAAACAAATGTCAAATGAAAAGGACATCAAACAAACGAAAAGGTAAGAGACAAACGTGAACTTGAATATTTATGAAATTTATGAAAACTGGCTATATATGGTGTATATCTTTCGGAACAGACCAATACATTTCAGAAAGATTAAAATTGTAGAAACATTTTTATTTCAAACAGAGACTTAAGACAAGGAAGCAGGTAGTCATCTGATAAAGTAAGCACATTATCATTTTAAGGTAACCCACTACCTTTGCCATCATAAATATGTTTTTTGACAGAGTTATCCCCCTCAAATATTTTCATACATTAAATATTTCCTGATAAATCAATAAAACATGAATTTGATTGCAGAAACTTTTCAACTTATATTTATCCAATTATGAACCAAGTAAAGTACATTATTTATTCTTTTCCTTTTTTTAATGATTTTTTCACCCTTCTGACCAATTATGATGCCATTTGAAAGAAATTTTATGTTCTGAAAGATAATTATTAAATTTTTATCTGACAATTTTTTCTCTGGTGAATATATTTGCAAGATATACAGGACAAATTAAGATTTTTTTGTCAGAAATAGAATTTCATTTTGATAATTAAGACTGAACAAAATGGTGTCGCAGATTTGATTTTATCTAAATGTTTGAAAATATTGTTATATTAAATTATAACTCTAAATAAATTGAATTAGATTAACTTGTGAATTCTTTTTTTATATACTTGTGAAATTTTGTTCCATTATGCTATAAAATGGTCTTAGGAAAAGGTTAAAATGTACGAAATATAGCGAAAATAAGGGCAATATCCCCCCCCCCCTAACACAGTATATACACGTAAGACTAAGTGTACCCACAATCCCCAAACCCTACGAATCAATATATATATTTTAGTATTGACTTAAAATTTCAGACTCCTGTGCAAATTTCATAACTATTCATAATCTTTTACACACAAACAGCATACATATATACTGTACACAGAGACGTAAAGGCCTATACTGTACTGTAAACAATACTGAATCTATGAAGACCAAAATGGTCCTTCTCGTGTACGATCAACAACATGTACCGTTAACATACACACTGAAAACGAAACCAGGTTACAAGGTACAAACTAGCCATGACCAGTGTCATCCCTATACAACATTACCTTGTGCCTTCAGCTGTTATCTTTGGCCGGACGTTAATACAGACTCATGCATCAGTCCTGTAAACACCATCTACCAGGTAAATAAACCCATGCTTTCAAAAAGCAAGGCAAAAGTCGATTTCTGAAAACCAGAATGATTCGCGGAAATACCTATCACGCTCTAGTTGGCAACGAAGAACGATAACTCGTGGACGCTGGCACGACCTCCTTCTGTAGTTCCGTTCATCCGGTGAAGGGATCACGTCGCCGGGAGAGAATTGCTAAGTATCAATTAGGCCTACCATTAAGACTTCGAAATTTAGTGGTACATTTAATTTGTACAGATGGTAACATAGCGATGGCATGTCAAACCACAGGGACCTGAGAATTTGTTACAGCAATACTGTACAGTATTTAGACTTAAACTAAGGTGTTCAGAGTAGTTTTACACGTTTTAGGGGTTTAGATCAACGTTCGGTGAAAATGCCACCCATGATGATTTCATACGATTATTGGGGATGACGTTTTCACCGAAAGTTGATCATCTAAACCCCGAAAACGTGTAAAATTACTCTGAACACTCCAGTTTAGGCCCAAATATAGATGTAACAAAAACAGCTATCGGGTCCCTGTGTGTCAAACGTTGCATTATTTACCTTTCAAAGGCTTTGTATCATAAAGTTATATTAATGAGCAATGTTGATCTTCAATATCTTATATTTGTATGCAGGAATTGTAAATATATGTTTAATGTAAATTGTAAGTGAGGCAAAATGCAGTCATGGTTCAAATGAGCTACCTCTGTTATTTCGGACTTTGCCACTTATTTTGAATAAACTTGTGAAATTTCACACTTTCATTGTTTAAATATGTCTCAAAGAGATAAAAACAGATAATGTTTGAATAAGTTCCAAAAGCAACACAAAAATCCTGTACAAATTATCGCCGAAATCGGCCCGTTTTTTCACTCCGAATTGTAACATTTGTATAAATCACGGGGTGTTCTATTATTATGAAGAGAATAATACAATGTAAAGAAAAGATATCAATGCACGTACTGAAGTAATAATACGTACATACTCGCACAGAATGAAGAAAAATATGACATTGAAGGAAGTCGTTTCTTTCGTAGCTCTTGGTGTCCCTTTTCCTGTTCACATTATGAAAAATCTTTTTCATGTAAATAATGATGGTTTCATACGGAAATTTACACGAATTGCACCATAAACACTAAAAAAGAAAGGAGGAGATATTCTCTTGCTGTAAATTTCGTTAAACTTAAGACTCATGCAATTTATGTCTGACAGTATTATACTAAAGGTATTGTCTTTCCTCATTTCATATATTTTTCAAGTGTGTGGTGTATTCCTAGCAATAAAATGTACGTTGAAAAGATTTTTAAGTAACAAAAAGAGCTGCCAGGACTTTATTGAACATCAAAGATATTTTAATTCCTTCTTGTACTTTTTTTAACAGTCTCAAGTAGATGCCTATATCTGATTTTTATGAGTTTAGGAAAGCAGTTCTCACTTATAAAATTCTAAAATGCCAAGCTCCAAATGTTTTAAATTCCATGTTTTTATATGTAAGAGATGTGTCTTCCAGAAGTACAAGAGCTACCACAACAGATAGACTGTATGTCCCTTTAGCAAAAAACAAATATTTTTAAACGCTCTTAGTGATGTTATTAAACAGTCGTGCAGTGTAGATGTTTTTAAAAAGAAATACATAGAAATGTTTTACAGTAAGTAATAAGAGTAGTACAAAAGTACCGCTTCTGGCACAGGGTCTTTGAGTGCAGTCTCCTATATAATCCCTACCACCACCCCGCACCACCCTGCAGCACCACCTAACCGGGTGGTACCGTTATGATGACGTCACGGGTTTCCCCGATTGCATCATCCGGTGAACTCCCCTATATAATCCTTACCACCACCCTGGCACCCCCTAGTGGCACCCCTTTGATAGGGGGGTACCGATCGGTGACGTCACAGGGGGTTCTCATGTATTTGGGTTTTTCCTGATTGCATCTATTTATAGCGACAACCTATATACGAGGGGGTACCGATCGATGATGTCATAGGGGTTTCTCAGGTGTTGTTGCTGCTGCTGCTGCGGGGTAAATACAGCATATACCGGCTGCTTCATAATGTCTATGTAGGATGCTGCTGCGGGGTAAATGCAGCATATACCGGCTACTTCATAATGTCTATGTAGGATGGTTGCTGCTGCTGCGGGGTAAATGCAGCATATACCGGCTACTTCATGATGTCTATGTAGGATGGTTGCTGCTGCTGTTGCTGCTGCTGCGGGGTAAATACAGCATATACCGGCTGCTTCATAATGCCTATGTAGGATGGTTGCTGCTGCCGCTGCTTCTGCCGCCGCCGCCACCGTTGCAGGGGCTTCAACCATCACCGCCGCCGCCACTTTGAAGGATGGGTTAACGGTGGTATCGGCCCAGTTTACATTCGGAATCTTGGGTGGTGGTACATTTGGCCTCTCCATAAAAAGAGTGCTAAGGTATGGGGCCTACACGTGGAAGATATTGGAGTTGAGGAAGGTGTGAGGTACCAGATATATGGCTCATCGGAGGCACGACCACTTGCGGATGTTATATGAATATAGTAGGGTGACAGGGTTGTTGATTCATGGAAGGAAATAATTGCTGTTGCTGTTGAGTCTTTATCCGTGAGTTTTGGTGAGGGGGCTGATGTGTCTGCAGAGGAGGCTGCTGTGGTTGTGGAAAGGACTGATGTGAGATGAGTGTAGAAGCATTCATCTGCTGGTGGTATCTAGTGGCAGCAGGGATCGCAGAATGTTGATTTTGTAATGACTCTAGCTAGGTTTGCATTTGTGGAGAGGGAGTTTCTGTGTTGTATTGTACATTCCCATATCCATTTCGGTAGCCATGTTGCTGATGGGGAAGTTGGGGCTGACTGGGGGCCCTGTCTACAGGATGAGTTTGTCCCGGAGTGCGGTTACCGGATGACTCATCACACTGGGAAACACTCCATGATTGCCCATTCTAGCATTACTAATGTCAGAGTGTGCAGTATCTGATCCTGACCCACCCAACCGATAGCGCTCAATCTCACTGATCTCCTGGTCGAACTTTGTTAGGATTAAGTTTGCTATCCTTTCATGGATACTGTCCCGGAGCCTTGAACTGCTTCTATGTCCAGCTCCTGTGGGGTGCAGTACATGGTACCACCCCTATCATCATACGATGCTAATTTACGACGAAGAATTGTGTTGGACCTGTCAAGTTCCTCATTCCTAGCCTCCAGCTCAGCTTTATAAGATCTGAGTTGTGTTATCTCCTTTTCTGCATTCTGTAGATCTTTTCCTTTTTTCACTGTCCGCGGGTTTCCTCCGGGTAGATTTAGTCTTGTGCACAGGCCGCAAACTTATCTCGTTGAGCTGCTGGTCACCAGTTCCAGCACAATCAGTGATTATGTTGTATTGGGAAGTTACATTATCTGGATTATGAACTGGGGTCTCCACTTCTTAGCCGGAACTTAAGAGATATCTATGTCCACTTGCATGAGGTTGGTCTCATCCCTATGCTCCTCACTGACTTTACAATATAAACAACTAGCCGTACTACAATCGGTTGAACTCTCCATACAAGTAGGATGACAGTGCTGCTTACATAGGTCACATATATCAAGGTCAATACTTGCAACCTCATCACAAACATGGCAAGTAACCGATTCAGCCCTACCATCAATATCCTCCTCGAGAATACCGTCCGAAATATTCCTATTAAGAGTTGTGTCAATCGAGCGTAGAACCTCGGTTGGAGCACATTGCCGGCATGTATATACATAAGTGCTGTTATTTGATTCTAGTAATTGTATGATTTCGTCCGACGACTTATCACAGTTATAATGAATCCAATGCTTGCCCGACTAGCAGCTCCAGATTAACAGTTTTTATGACACTCGCTGAATTCTGGGGGTAGATGTTGTAGTACTGGGTATAGGATCCGGAGGCACACGTGTACAATCAGTGGCGGTTAGCTGTTCTGTGGAGTTGCCAAGTAGAGTTTTCACATGCTCTCGGAGACGTTTCATTGCCTGTCGACATCCTGATTGTCGTCCAAATCGTTACGAACAAAACGTGTCTCAAGAAAAGTAACTGGGAAACCTACAATCTAAATATAGATCTACCTAGATGGCGCCTGTAGTAGGTGTTTTCCTCTGGTGGGTTATAGACCATGCGCACTTGTTTGATATTTTGCGTGCTGGCTTGAATGACAACTGTGTCCTGTCGAGCGGTGATATGTTACGTCCGTGACGGGATGTACATTTTAAACTTTTATGTCATTTTACTCGTGATTTAAAGTGAACAGTTTATGCTATCTAACACGAATAGCAAGAAAGTGTATGACACTGTTCGTTGAACACCTTGATTTGCGATCTAAATATATATCAAAATTACTTTTTTCGTGAATTGGTGAAACCTGTGGCATGCTTTTTAAGCACAACATAAAACTGGCTACCTATACATTAGCAGTGGTGTTACGATCGTAACAGGACACGGACTTTTTTTTTTTTTTTTTTTTTTTTTTTGACGAACGAATATTTAACATGTCCCATACCCACATCGAAATAAGTTCACTTCAACCCTTTTATGTATACTGGCTGTGAGGATTAATTTATAATCTTAGCCACCCCAATTGCAACTGAAATCTATTTGAGGTAATCGGAAATATAAGTTGAGTTTTGTTCGTAACATTTGACTTTGTGTCCGCGTTACATACGCAACATATACCAAAATGTATCAAATGTCCCTTGGCTTTTACCTAACACTTAGGTATATAACTTAAATGCAATTAACTTTAATAACTACAAAATAGAATAAGTTTTATGTTAATATGTGATATCACAAATGTGCATTTTTTACGTAGTAGTTTCGTGGGTAACAGTGTCCTTATTGAACCTTGCATTTTTTTTTCTCTCAAAATAACTAGTTACCAAGATCTCCATTTTTGAGAAAATTTTATTATTTGTTTAACTAGAATAATAACTGAATTACTGAACAAATTACCTGACAATGAAATACATTTTCAGCATATAAAGGACACCATGTTACAAACGCAACAGTGTGATATTTGCAATTTTGAGTTTGAAATACTGGTAAACTATGGAAATCATTATGTTCTCCACCTGTTTTTTAAACGTTGATGTCATGACCTTCACGAAATGCTTAATATAACACAACAAAAACACATTCCGAAAATCTGGTGTGGAAGTCACACCTTTTGGATCATGATTGAATTTTGCCTCAAGTATATATTCAATAATAATTGTAAATGTATGTTAAATTATAATATATAATACATAACATAAAATGTTATTTTCAAAGTGAGATTGTTTTAATTTGTATTTTACAACTCGATCTGAACTATGAAGACATTTAAAAATTATAACCCCCCCCCCCTCCCAACTTTGTTGTGTTTTGAAAGCCAATTCAACTTTTTATCCCATTTAAAGTGATACAATGTATTGGTGATACCGCAGATTCATTAATTGTTGTGAATTATGTATTAAAAGATGCTTTTTATTCTCTATAAGTAATGCATGTATAACTTATAAGTTTAGTATTTCCCGTATAACGACATCTCTGAAGATCCTATAGAAACAATGCGTACATTTTACGGCGCACGCATCACTATAATACACGTGTATATCAAATCTATAATTATTGAAGAGTCTTCATTGCCAATGGTTATGCTAATCATGTTTTTTTTTTAAAGAACCTACTGTTGGCGTTATTATACCACATTTCACGAAAGAGGAAAACCGGAATACCCGGAGAAAAAACACCGACCTGCGGAAGGTACCTTGCGAACCCGGGACCCAGTGGGTGGCTAGTGCCTTACCCATTCGGTCACCGCGGCCCCTCTGAAGGGGACACTGTTTGGTTTAGATATGTCAACCATAAAGACAGACACGGTAATTTAGAGTTTAATACTAACAGAAATAGTCTAGACTTCTCCCTTTAATTTCAGAGGTTCTGACAGGAAATTCATAGTTTTCATATCTCCTACACTGCACAATGCTTCAAATTGGTTTTCTGTTGTTTTCCACAGACAAACTTTTGTGGTGTGGTTATGGGATATTTGGAACTTTTTGAATTCACCCGATCTGATCCAAATTGGCTTATGATTGGGGGATTAATTTAACTTTTGCATATTTAATCATTCGTCTTAGGATCCGGTTGAAACATGAACGTGTTGGCTAATCTTTCATGGCCTTTGCTAGAATATTCCTGTCCATGGAAGCCTTTATGTCCTCTTAAAATATATTCCACATACTGTCAGTGCTTTCGAGGGAGAATTTGAAGAATGTGTCTACGCAATCAGTCTTTAAACCTTGCCAATGTCCTTTTGCGACGTGATAGCTTTTTCGGGGCTTCCGTATGACGCTTTGTTGGGGGAACGGCGATGTCGTCATCACTGATGCCTTGATAATTTACGGATTGGTACAAACGCAAATTATGTGATCTAATATTTTATGTTTAAGCAACAATACAGATCATATGAAGAGAGGGTTCACGGATGAAGGGGCCACTCAGATTGCAGCTTTGAACTGTCCTCCGCTGAAATATCATGCATGAATCCTGAACACGGCAGCATGACCGTCCACCCGGTCACATTATACTGACAGCTGGATTGGTTTTTTGTTTGTTTGTTTAACGTCTTATTAACAGCTTAGATAGTTCAAGGACGTGTCACCATGCGTGTAATATTTACGCGCTTGTGTGTATGTGTTCTCAAGGAAGGGTATGTTGTTGTATTTGCCTCCTTGCGATAGCGCGGATCTGATGCCAGCTTAATATAGTGCTACCTCACTGAAATACCATGCCGAGGCATCCAGCACGAAATTCCATCCGGTAATGTTATACTGACAATTGGCTAAACAGATGTTCTCCGAAATGCTGAACGGTAAGCAGGGAATAACAACCACCATTTTAAGTACTCTTGGGTTCTTGGGGACAGAACACTAAGGCCCAAAGGGAGGTATTGCCAATGCAAGGCGTTAGGAAACAAAAATGGTGTTAGGAAGTAGAGTTTTTGTTTGTTCGTTAGGGGCCTAACGTTTTCGCAACAGCCAGGGTCATGTGATGATGGATGCCTAGGGGTCAACGCCGGAAGAGAATGTAGATAGAAAAGAAAGATTACTGGAAAAATACGAAACGGAAAACAGATCCCAAATGTTGCAATAGGGACAGCATATCAATGTTGGTCACTTCAGTGTCCTCTTAACAGGAGAGACAGAAGAAAAGTACTGATAGTGAAGGGGGCCACATTAGTCGCCTGTTACGATACATATGCAGCTGGACACATCAGGTCTATTATTGATTTCTTCAATGTCCCCAAAACTGAAGACAAGGAAGAAACCGCCACCAATTTTACAGGATGGAGGGGACACATTAGTCGTCTCTTCCGATCATGCAGTTGGAAACTGTAGGCCTTTTATTTCTCCAATCTTGCACTGATAGGAGAGAAAATACAACGATTCCAAATACTGATATGGGGATAGCAATCTCCCTTCCATTCCCTTTCTTCTCGGCGGCGTGCCTCTAGAAGGCACCCGCCATAAGTTATCCTTAATTGTTGCCAGGTCGTTAAACCCTAAACAAACAAAATCATGCGAAAGAGCTCGCTAATATTCATACAACTGATTAATATGCTGTATCAGGTTTTATTTTTCTAATATGTACCATCCGTAGCTATTTGACATTCCTTAGTCAGCTTCATACTAAGAAAGGTCACTTACAGATTGGTGTTCGGGGCAAGCAGTGACGCAGTGAGTAAAACACTAAAATGGATTTATGGTTTTAAATTTTTGTAAAAATGTTGCTGAATTAAATCAAAAATCGATTAAATTATGAGACTTTAATTTTATCCAGTGAAATGTTATTTAACTTTATTAATGCTCAAAATAAATTTCAGTGCCAGAAATAATATAAAAAATATTAGTATTTGATCTGAATATCAAAACACCTCTTGTGATATTAAATATCATGTGATGTAGGTTTCTGTTAATTTCCTCGCTGATTGATTGTCGGTTTAAAGTCTGTATGCATGGAATACCTTTGAACAAAATTAACATTAAACTTGTATTTAGTCATTTACAATTTCCTTGTCACTTTCAAATTATTTCTGGCTTTGTCTTATTGGACTTTTACCGTTTAACCATTAGGTCAGAGTTCAGGGAGTAACTCACGGCAATATCAGTCTAGTAATGGAGGATCTGAGCTACCTGTCTTGTCCAAACCCTGCCCAACTCCGGTACAAATCAATTAATGAAGTGCTACACGAGAGGACCATGGAATTTCCTGATAAGGAAATCGTAATCCAGCGATTGGTAGGAGGCGGAAGGAGGTCACTGACTTATAGAGAACTCTTGAACAGGTCCACAGGAGTAGCTAAGTACCTTATTAGTAGAGGGATTATGCCAGGGGACAGTGTAGCTATTATCGGTCCAAACTCGATCGAGTGGATTATTGGAGAGTTCGCTATCTTCCTGACAGGAGCCGTTGCTGTTCCGATAAACAAAACGTCGGAGTCGGTCCCAGAGAAGATAAAGTTGCTAAAAGCTTCACAGAGTAAGGCTGTGTTGTTTGATCCTGAATCAGACGAAGAGCTCATGTCGGAAATGGATGCTTCTTTCAATAGTGATGAAGATAAACTTGATGTTTTGTTACTTCAAAAATCAGCATTATCTTTTCTCCCCTCGCTGAACGACGTCACCATTACAACGAATGAAACATCAATAGTATTGCCAAGAATACAACCAGAGAGTAGCGCCATGATTTATACAACTTCCGGTTCAACTGGAGTCCCTAAAATGGTCGAAATGACTCACTTGGCAATTGTGAATGCTTCCTATATCGCTTTTTTGGGGACAGGAGGAGATCGGCCGTCCGCTAAATGTTACAACGACGGATTGTTTACCTGGATAGGAGGTAGTCCAATATTCAGTATTCTTAATGGAAATGCACGAGTGTTTGCTGACATCGCAATAGGTCTGAAGAAAGAAAAACTCATGGCTGTTTGGAATATCATCATCTCCGAGCAGTGTACAAATGCTATATTCTTCCCTCATACTGTGCTCGATTTGATTGAAAATCAGGACGCCATTCTAAAGAAAGGCTACAAAATGTATGCAATTGCGACCGGAGGACAAATGATCAATAAGCATCTTAGTGAAGTATGCGGTAAACTCACAGAGAATCTTTTCCTGGAATACGGTTCCACTGAGGCCGGAATCGTGTCATTTACAGAGCTCAAACTGGGAACGGACGTTGGCTATGTTGGGCCACTCTTTCCAGGCTACGAGGTCAAGGTTATCGGAGACAATGATGACACACTGACTCGAGGACATTTGGGTGAAATCCTCATTAAATCTCTGTTTATGTTGAAGTCCTACCGGAACGCATACAAATTAAACGAAGAGTGCTTTACTGACGGGGGCTGGTTCCGAACAGGAGACATTGGAATCATTACTATGGAAGGCAGATTATTTGTGAAAGGCAAGTCGACTGACGTAATAAAACGGGGAGGGGTGACGGTCTTGGTCAGCCACGTGGAAACAGCCATGATCGAACTACCGGAAGTAAGGGAGATTGTGGTGCTAGCTGTGCCGGATGTCCGACTCTTTGAGGAAATTTGCGCATGTGTCGTCTTGGAGGTTGATTCAAATATAACAGAGGTTGAATTAGATCGGAAGTGTAGAATGACTCTCGGAGACAACGTTCTGGGTAGTGCACCTTCCTACTTGCTCCGTTTTGATGTGTTTCCAAGACTACGTAATGGTAAATCAGACAAAGTACTGATTAAAAAGCTGGCTATGGAAAGGTTGAAGCTCGATTAAACTGTTTATATGGTTACCATTATCATAACATTGTTACATTGTATAAGGATATTGCACCTAATTGATATCATGATAGGCGAACTACATGGGAATACTTTGCATAATTCAGAATTTTTTTTTGTGCGCTCTACTTGGCAACACGAAAACAACAAAAGATATAACGATGTCCCATTTGCTACATTTTAGAGCTCTGTCCTTAGTTCATCTACCCACCCTTTCGACGGTGACTCACTAACGATTGATCTAAATATGACCTAAGTTACCGAGAGAATATTGAACCCCTTTCAAACCAAAACAATTCATATATAAATATAAATTTAAAACTCTAAACAGCGAAATTATCTTACACATATGCTATTAACATAACATTTATGCAGAGTCAGGAGCTTGTAAAGATATCTTTAATGTTATACTGACTTTTATGGTTTAGTCAACGCTGAATGTCTACATCGTTATCAATTCTAGACAGGTGTCTTGCTGCATTAAGTTACAAAATACTGCAGAACCAATAAATTGATTCCTTAACTATTTTATCGCATTCAGATTGTTGTGATTGTCTGTATGATTTTTTCATTGTTCTAGTTAAGTTAAATTTCAGTACCAAATTGAGCATTTCCTGTCAGTTCAGCAGGCGCTCACACGACTCTTAGCTACATTAAAGCAATATCACTTACCTGGGCCAATGATCTCGATGTATGTTTGTACATATCAATAAGGTTGAAATACTAATTTTAGAATTGTGAGACAGTCATACGTGAGCACCCGTGTTCATTTTGTTTTGTTTAACACCACCGCCAGCTCGCACAACGATAAGAGGTTTAGGCTTATGAGTTATCAGTTTCGCCCCTCCTTTTCGATTCTGCACGTTCATTTGCGTTCGGCGATGTCTCCATAGGCACTCAGCCCATAGCTTTTTTGAGGACGTTAACTTTCATTCAATTAAAAAGGTGTGTATTTAGTTCTATGTGGCCTTTTACTGAGTTCTGAACATTTACTTTATGATATACCTCAAAAACTGTTCAAAATAACAAAATGTTTATCATGTCTGTTAGATTTCACTGCGGGGCCATACTCGCGTTGTTTGTTATTAAAATATGACTCATTAACGTCTTTGAAAAAATAGCCGTAAAATAGCCGTTAAGCAATGCATCGATTTTCAAAATATTTCCTCGTATTAATTTGAATTTTGACCAGTAAAAGGGCTCATTTTGTTTCTATAAAAGTATTCACCTTTTCATATGCTTTGAACTAGAACTTCCATGGAAGAAAGCTCTTAATACAAATGCGAAAACTGTATTTTCTTTTTATAAATGCATCATTGGCAACACTAGATGGGGTGAATCACGTCAAGAGCAGTGACTAATTGTAAAATGAGGAACCCTTTTTGTGGTGTATGTTTTTCTTAAAGGGCGAATCGTCATTTAAAGGAATCTGCTTTGTGTCCCTTAAACCAATGATCAAGGATCTTCTATGAACAATGATTTGTTTTGGTACGTTCGTGTCACGAAGTGCAATTTCATCTTGTTTTTGTTGTCGTTTTTATTTTATTTTTGTTGTAAGAACGACTTTTTTAGCAGTTAGGTTTCATTTTCAGTTCAATTGTACATTTTTACGGCTATTTATCCTATTTTGGGACAAAAAAGGAACCAAAATAAATCTTCTTCACTTTTGGCTTTTATGTCGGGCCGGAACACACCAAAGTCCTTACAAATGGTAGTTATTATTCCCTACTTTACGTTCAGCATTTAGGGTAATGGCAAAAACTGATTCACCCGTTGTCAGTAAAATGTGACCAAGTGGAATTCTGTGCTGGGTGACTTCGGAATGGTATTTCAATGAGATAGCACTATACAATCGACATCATCTTTGTGCAAACACATGGAGGCAAATACGCCAACATACCCTGCCTCATGCATACATACATGTATGCACCCATACACAACACACATGGAGGCACGTCCTTAAATGACATTACCTGTTGACGTGAAACTCTAGTAACCAACCAACCAATCAGTCAGTTTAAATGTAACATCTATATATATTATATTTGTAAATGTTATATATATTATATTTATAATTGTTATATATATTATATGTTACAGCTGTAATTAATTGCAACAGATCTGGTAAAGATGTTGGCTAACATTAAAATGTGAAACAAATTGTATGATTCCTTGTTTTGCACGTTTTGTTTTGTAACCTGCTGGTCACCAGAACAGTTTCTGCTAATGTCTTGTAATCAATTGCCGTGCAATCATTAGAAAATGTGATCAAAGACACTCACGATTATTTACATTTTTTTTTTATTAGAAATTGACAAATATTTGATTTTAGGTTTCCTATTTTATCAATAATAGGACTAATTTATTATAATAACAATATTAAAGAGCTGTATAGGGGAAATATATCGGGATGAAACTGAAGGAAAATATCAAAACATATATTTAAAATTCCTTATGAATCTGCTTTTAAAAATAGACATATGTTTTCCATGTAGGTATAGTAAGTATATATCTCGTATTCTTTTCGTCAATTTTCTCGTCAGCTTCCATTCCTGATATGACATCATTTAATTGTTTAATCTAACGTTATGTTATTTTCATTTTTGTGACGTCACCGTTAAGATAGATAATGGCATGTGAATTAATCTTAATCAACCAGGTGAATGCTTTCTAATCGGATATTAAGTCACTAATTTTCCACAAGCAAAAATAGTTTGTTTGAAGTTTTACTTCGTCGCAACAGTTAAGGTCATATGAAGGAAAATAGCAGACAGGAGAGAAAGGGACAAATACCAAGTGTTGCCACGGGAGCGGCAGGTCAAAGGCAGGAGAGAAAGGGACCAATACCAAGTGTTGCCATGGGAGCGGCAGGTCAAAGGCAGGAGAGAAAGGGACCAATACCAAGTGTTGCCATGGGAGCGGCAGGGCACTTCTGGTTTCTGCAATGTCTTCTACGTAGAAGACGCCGAGGAAAAAAACACCGATTCTACAAGGGCCCCACATTAGTCGCCTCCTAGTATCGTGCAGTGGGATACAGCAGAACTGTCCTTGACCCGAACCTGAACAGAGTCACCATACGCAAATACCTCCGTCAATGTAAAATAATCTTGGATAAGAAATTTGATCCAGTTTTTTTTATCCCTGTGATCACTTGCACATTCAAAGGGTTGTTAATAGGTAGATTTCCAATGTTATTTGGGGATTCATGAAATTCGTAAAGTAACACTTAGTGAATATATCAAATTTATTGTACTTCTCTGACTCGCAACAAATGTATTTGACATTTAAATCCAGGTATGGTAAACATCATCATATATATATTTATTTCACTAACGTTTATTTTTATTGAACGAAAACCCTAAACGAATTGCAAGAAAAAGTCAGGAACAGCTTAGCGCTGTCTAGGGGACAACTAACTCCATTTTTGAAAAACAACTTATAAAATAGGGAAATATATCCCGTTAGATTTGTCTCTCTTGGTTTAGTTCGTAGTCTCTGTGACCCTTGTATAAAAAAAAGATTTTGAAAAGAAGCAAAGATTCAAACTGTTGCAATGGGGGCAGCAGATAGTTATCTATCATTATATTCTTTACGGCCTATCAACACAGAAGAGGTCTTTTGGGCCATTACTAGGTAGATAAAGCATATAAAAGGAAATGGCATCACACAAACGAAATGAGAAAAAAATCAATTTGAAAAGTAAAAGTGGCTATGGTAAGTTCTATATCTTTCTGAACGGACCAACATGATTTAGGTAGGTTAGAACTGTTGTGATATCTACCCTTACGAAAAGAGATTGGAGACTTGCTATAGTACTAAACCTTTTTGGGTTTTTTAATGCCCCTTAAACATAACAAACTATAGAAAGGACGTTATGCATACCATACAATCATAAAATTTATTTGAATCATCCAGTGTCCCTATTTGTGTCCGTACATGAATTGACCTGGTTTTTTACACACCACATATCTTATGATCTGAGAGCAATGTGAACTGCCTGTACCTAGTCACTTATCAGAATATTTCATAAACGTCCTGCACCAGAACCTCTTGCAAAGCCGACGGCTGATATCTTTATTTAGGACATCTCATCGTGTTTTAAATCAAGATAAAGACTTGTTAGCTTAGAACTTGTTAAGGCCATCATACATTGTGACATGGACCCTGGTAAGCTTCATAACATGTTTTTCGCAAAAATAAAATATTTTGAAAAAAATAAACTTTGTTATCATTATGAAATATATTTGAATATAACAAGAAATAAATGTGAAAATGTATGATTATAGTTTAGATCCCATTAAAATTTATGTTATTGTGACTTGTTAAGTTGACCAGACTGAACGTTTGTGCCCCAGACAAAACATTACATCACATTCAGTGACGTAAATGTGACGTTTCCGATAGAGGGAGTTGTGTATAGCCGTTGCTGATAAAAGCTGTGTGTCTGTCCTCGGTCTAAAGTGCTCTCTGGATCCATTCCTCACGATTAATTTTCCTATGTAAAGGTAGGTTTAATTAATTTGAATATTGAACATTTTTGTAAAATACATCTGGTCAATTCTGCTTTATTTTTGGGGTTGGAAGCGTATTGAATCAGAAGCTTGTGTAGATCAGATTATCATGAAATTATTATTTGTATCAGTTGTCGTATTAATAGAAATACTATAACTTAAATCAATGCCAGTCAGTGTGGTGGATTGAGGATTTCCTGATAACAGTGTTTCCTATACAATGTAACGTCTGTGCATATAAGGTTTTATTCAGAATACGTAATGGTAAATCAGACAAAGTACTGATTAAAAAGCTGGCTATGGAAAGGTTGAAGCTCGATTAAACTGTTTACATGGTTACCAATATCATGACATTGTTACATTGTATAAGGATATTGCACCTAATTGATATCACGATAGGCGAACTACATGGGAATACTTTGCATAATTCAGGATTTTCTTTTGTGCGCTCTACTTGGCAACACGAAAACAACAAAAGATATAACGATGTCCCATTTGCTACATTTTAGAGCTCTGTCCTTAGTTCATCTACCCACCCTTTCGACGGTGACTCACTAACGATTGATCTAAATATGACCTAAGTTACCGAGAGAATATTGAACCCCTTTCAAACCAAAACAATTCATATATAAATATAAATTTAAAACTCTAAACAGCGAAATTATCTTACACATATGCTATTAACATAACATTTATGCAGAGTAAGGAGCTTGTAAAGATATCTTTAATGTTATACTGACTTTTATGGTTTAATCAACGCTGAATGTCTACATTGTTATTAATTCTAGACAGGTGTCTTGCTGCATTAAGTTACAAAATACTGCAGAACCAGTAAATTGATTCCTTAACTATTTTATCGCATTCAGATTGTTGTGATTGTCTGTATGATTTTTTCATTGTTCTAGTTAAGTTAAATTTCAGTACCAAATTGAGCATTTCTTGTCAGTTCAGCAGGCGCTCACACGACTCTTAGCTACATTAAAGCAATATCACTTACCTGGGCCAATGATCTCGATGTATGTTTGTACATATCAATAAGGTTGAAATACTAATTTTAGAATTGTGAGACAGTCATACGTGAGCACCCGTGTTCATTTTGTTTTGTTTAACACCACCGCCAGCTCGCACAACGATAAGAGGTTTAGGCTTATGAGTTATCAGTTTCGCCCCTCCTTTTCGATTCTGCACGTTCATTTGCGTTCGGCGATGTCTCCATAGGCACTCAGCCCATAGCTTTTTTGAGGACGTTAACTTTCATTCAATTAAAAAGGTGTGTATTTAGTTCTATGTGGCCTTTTACTGAGTTCTGAACATTTACTTTATGATATACCTCAAAAACTGTTCAAAATAACAAAATGTTTATCATGTCTGTTAGATTTCACTGCGGGGCCATACTCGCGTTGTTTGTTATTAAAATATGACTCATTAACGTCTTTGAAAAAATAGCCGTAAAATAGCCGTTAAGCAATGCATCGATTTTCAAAATATTTCCTCGTATTAATTTGAATTTTGACCAGTAAAAGGGCTCATTTTGTTTCTATAAAAGTATTCACCTTTTCATATGCTTTGAACTAGAACTTCCATGGAAGAAAGCTCTTAATACAAATGCGAAAACTGTATTTTCTTTTTATAAATGCATCATTGGCAACACTAGATGGGGTGAATCACGTCAAGAGCAGTGACTAATTGTAAAATGAGGAACCCTTTTTGTGGTGTATGTTTTTCTTAAAGGGCGAATCGTCATTTAAAGGAATCTGCTTTGTGTCCCTTAAACCAATGATCAAGGATCTTCTATGAACAATGATTTGTTTTGGTACGTTCGTGTCACGAAGTGCAATTTCATCTTGTTTTTGTTGTCGTTTTTATTTTATTTTTGTTGTAAGAACGACTTTTTTAGCAGTTAGGTTTCATTTTCAGTTCAATTGTACATTTTTACGGCTATTTATCCTATTTTGGGACAAAAAAGGAACCAAAATAAATCTTCTTCACTTTTGGCTTTTATGTCGGGCCGGAACACACCAAAGTCCTTACAAATGGTAGTTATTATTCCCTACTTTACGTTCAGCATTTAGGGTAATGGCAAAAACTGATTCACCCGTTGTCAGTAAAATGTGACCAAGTGGAATTCTGTGCTGGGTGACTTCGGAATGGTATTTCAATGAGATAGCACTATACAATCGACATCATCTTTGTGCAAAGACATGGAGGCAAATACGCCAACATACCCTGCCTCATGCATACATACATGTATGCACCCATACACAACACACATGGAGGCACGTCCTTAAATGACATTACCTGTTGACGTTAAACTCTAGTAACCAACCAACCAATCTGTCAGTTTAAATGTAACATCTATATATATTATATTTGTAAATGTTATATATATTATATTTGTAAATGTTATATATATTATATGTTACAGCTGTAATTAATTGCAACAGATCTGGTAAAGATGTTGACTAACATTAAAATGTGAAACAAATTGTATGATTCCTTGTTTTGCACGTTTTGTTTTGTAACCTGCTGGTCACCAGAACAGTTTCTGCTAATGTCTTGTAATCAATTGCCGTGCAATCATTAGAAAATGTGATCAAAGACACTCACGATTATTTACATTTTTTTTTTATTAGAAATTGACAAATATTTGATTTTAGGTTTCCTATTTTATCAATAATAGGACTAATTTATTATAATAACAATATTAAAGAGCTGTATAGGGGAAATATATCGGGATGAAACTGAAGGAAAATATCAAAACATATATTTAAAATTCCTTATGAATCTGCTTTTAAAAATAGACATATGTTTTCCATGTAGGTATAGTAAGTATATATCTCGTATTCTTTTCGTCAATTTTCTCGTCAGCTTCCATTCCTGATATGACATCATTTAATTGTTTAATCTAACGTTATGTTATTTTCATTTTTGTGACGTCACCGTTAAGATAGATAATGGCATGTGAATTAATCTTAATCAACCAGGTGAATGCTTTCTAATCGGATATTAAGTCACTAATTTTCCACAAGCAAAAATAGTTTGTTTGAAGTTTTACTTCGTCGCAACAGTTAAGGTCATATGAAGGAAAATAGCAGACAGGAGAGAAAGGGACAAATACCAAGTGTTGCCACGGGAGCGGCAGGTCAAAGGCAGGAGAGAAAGGGACCAATACCAAGTGTTGCCATGGGAGCGGCAGGTCAAAGGCAGGAGAGAAAGGGACCAATACCAAGTGTTGCCATGGGAGCGGCAGGTCAATTCTGGTTTCTGCAATGTCTTCTACGTAGAAGACGCCGAGGAAAAAAACACCGATTCTACAAGGGCCCCACATTAGTCGCCTCCTAGTATCGTGCAGTGGGATACAGCAGAACTGTCCTTGACCCGAACCTGAACAGAGTCACCATACGCAAATACCTCCGTCAATGTAAAATAATCTTGGATAAGAAATTTGATCCAGTTTTTTTTATCCCTGTGATCACTTGCACATTCAAAGGGTTGTTAATAGGTAGATTTCCAATGTTATTTGGGGATTCATGAAATTCGTAAAGTAACACTTAGTGAATATATCAAATTTATTGTACTTCTCTGACTCGCAACAAATGTATTTGACATTTAAATCCAGGTATGGTAAACATCATCATATATATATTTATTTCACTAACGTTTATTTTTATTAAACGAAAACCCTAAACGAATTGCAAGAAAAAGTCAGGAACAGCTTAGCGCTGTCTAGGGGACAACTAACTCCATTTTTGAAAAACAACTTATAAAATAGGGAAATATATCCCGTTAGATTTGTCTCTCTTGGTTTAGTTCGTAGTCTCTGTGACCCTTGTATAAAAAAAAGATTTTGAAAAGAAGCAAAGATTCAAACTGTTGCAATGGGGGCAGCAGATAGTTATCTATCATTATATTCTTTACGGCCTATCAACACAGAAGAGGTCTTTTGGGCCATTACTAGGTAGATAAAGCATATAAAAGGAAATGGCATCACACAAACGAAATGAGAAAAAAATCAATTTGAAAAGTAAAAGTGGCTATGGTAATTTCTATATCTTTCTGAACGGACCAACATGGTTTAGGTAGGTTAGAACTGTTGTGATATCTACCCTTACGAAAAGAGACTGGAGACTTGCTATAGTACTAAACCTTTTTGGGTTTTTTAATGCCCCTTAAACATAACAAACTATAGAAAGGACGTTATGCAAACCATACAATCATAAATTTATTTGAATCTTCCAGTGTACCTATTTGTGTCCGTACATTAATTGACCTGGTTTTTTACACACCACATATCATATGATCTGAGAGCAATGTGAACTGCCTGTACCTAGTCACTTATCAAAATATTTCATAAACGTCCTGCACCAGAACCTCTTGCAAAGTCGACGGCTGATATCTTTATTTAGGACATCCCATCGTGTTTTAAATCAAGATAAAGACTTGTTAGCTTAGAACTTGTTAAGGCCATCATACATTGTGACATGGACCCTGGTAAGCTTCATAACATGTTTTTCGCAAAAATAAAATATTTTGAAAAAAATAAACTTTGTTATCATTATGAAATATATTTGAATATAACAAGAAATAAATGTGAAAATGTATGATTATAGTTTAGATCCCATTAAAATTTATGTTATTGTGACTTGTTAAGTTGACCAGACTGAACGTTTGGGCCCCAGACAAAACATTACATCACATTAAGTGACGTAAATGTGACGTTTCCGATAGAGGGAGTTGTGTATAGCCGTTGCTGATAAAAGCTGCGTGTCTGTCCTCGGTCTAAAGTGCTCTCTGGATCCATTCCCCACGATTAATTTTCCGATGTAAAGGTAGGTATAATTAATTTCAATATTGAACATTTTTGTAAAATACATCTGGTCAATTCTGCTTTATTTTTGGGGTTGGAAGCGTATTGAATCAGAAGCTTGTGTAGATCAGATTATCATGAAATTATTATTTGTATCAGTTGTCGTATTAATAGAAATACTATAACTTAAATCAATGCCAGTCAGTGTGGTGGATTGAGGAGTTTCCTGATAACAGTGTTTCCTATATAATGTAACGTCTGTGCATATAAGGTTTAATCAGTTTATTATCGGACTAAACCGAATAATAAATAAAAAAAATACAACACGAAATACATACAATTAAAATACAATATATAATACTCTCATACTAACATTATGTTGTAATTTCTATTATTCCTTATAAAAGATTATATACAGATCGCACGAACCTGTTTATTATAACTCGAATAATTCAAAAGAATTAACAGTTTTATACATTACGTCTCATAAGTATATCATTAACATATATATCACATGGAGAACATATACAACATACCTACCCCTTCTACAAATAGAGGGTTTTCAGACAATAGTCTTTACACAGGTTTTATGTGGCGGTCGCAGTAATATGTCTGTCTCTCATGAGCATTAGTATTTTATTTAAATTTCCCACATAAATATAATGAAAACCACATATAAATAAAACATTGCTCAATAGGATTACTTCTATTATTTGAAATAATAAACTGACCAACATGACTATGCCAGGAAAATTCAATACTAGCGCGCGGAAAGTAAAACTTAAACAATTTACACAGTGAAAAAACAAGTTTACAACACATCACGTGACCCTTATACACCACTCACTTGTATTCAAAATTACGACGTGCGTAATAACACTTATTAACACAAATAATGTAAAATTATGACACTGTCACAGGTGGAAGGACTTAGTACAGACATTTACACTAAACCTGTAAATCTAGTCATTTGCAATTTCCTTGTCATTTTCAAATTATTTCTGACTTGGTCTTATTGGACTTTAGGTTGGTGGTCAGAGAGTAACTCACGGCAATATCAGTCTAGTAATGGAGGATCTGAGCTACCTGTCTTGTCCAAACCCTGCCCAACTCCGGTACAAATCAATTAATGAAGTGCTACACGAGAGGACCATGGAATCTCCTGATAAGGAAATCGTAATCCAGCGATCGATAGGAGGCGGCAGGAGGTCACTTACTTATAGAGAACTTTTAAACAGGTCCACAGGGATTGCCAAGTACCTAGTCACTAAGGGGATCGGTGCAGGGGACAGAGTTGCAATTATTGGGCCAAACTCCAACGAGTGGATTATTGCAGAGTTCGCTATCTTCTTGACAGGAGCCGTTGCTGTTCCGATAAACAAAACGTCGGAGTCGGTCCCAGAGATGATGAAGTTGCTAAAAGCTTCACAGAGTAAGGCTGTGTTGTTTGATCCTGAATCAGACGAAGAGTTCATGTCGGAAATGGATGCTTCTTTCAATAGTGATGAAGATAAACTTGATGTTTTGTTACTTCAAAAATCAGCATTATCTTTTCTCCCCTCGCTGAACGACGTCACCATTACAACGAATGAAACATCAATAGTATTGCCAAGAATACAACCAGAGAGTAGCGCCATGATTTATACAACTTCCGGTTCAACTGGAGTCCCTAAAATGGTCGAAATGACTCACTTGGCAATTGTGAATGCTTCCTATATCGCCTATTTGGGGACAGGAGGAGATCGGCCGTCCGCTAAATGTTACAACGACGGATTGTTTACCTGGATAGGAGGTAGTCCAATATTCAGTATTCTTAATGGAAATGCACGAGTGTTTGCTGACATCGCAATAGGTCTGAAGAAAGAACAACTGATGGCTGTTTGGAATATCATCATCTCCGAGCAGTGTACAAATGCTATATTCTTCCCTCATACTGTGCTCGATTTGATTGAAAATCAGGACGACATTCTGAAGAAAGGCTACAAAATGTATGCCATTGCGACCGGAGGACAAATGATCAATAAGCATCTTAGTGAAGTATGCGGTAAACTCACAGAGAAGCTTTTCCTGGACTACGGGTCCACTGAGGCCGGAATCGTGTCATTTACAGAGCTCAAACTGGAAACGGACGTTGGATATGTTGGGCCACTCTTTCCAGGCTACGAGGTCAAGGTTATCGGAGACAATGATGACACACTGACTCGAGGACATTTGGGTGAAATCCTCATTAAATCTCCGTTTATGTTGAAGTCCTACCGGAACGCATACAAATTAAACGAAGAGTGCTTTACTGACGGGGGCTGGTTCCGAACAGGAGACATTGGAATCATTACTATGGAAGGCAGATTATTTGTGAAAGGCAAGTCGACTGACGTAATAAAACGGGGAGGTGTGACGGTCTTGGCCAGCGTCGTGGAAACAGCCATGATCCAACTTCCGGAAGTAAGGGAGATTGTGGTGCTAGCTGTGCCGGATGTCCGACTCTTTGAGGAAATTTGCGCATGTGTCGTCTTGGAGGTTGATTCAAATATAACAGAGGTTGAATTAGATCGGAAGTGTAGAATGACTCTCGGAGACAACGTTTTGGGCAGTGCACCTTCCTACTTGCTCCGTTTTGATGCGTTTCCAAGACTACGTAATGGTAAATCAGACAAAGTACTTATTAAAAAACTGGCTATGGAAAGATTGAAGTTCGATTAAACTGTTTATATGGTTACCATTATCATAACATTGTTACATTGTATAAGGATATTGCACCAAATTGATATCATGATAGGCGACCTACATGGGAATACTTTGCATAATTCAGGATTTCCTTTTGTGCGCTCTACTTGGCAATACCAAATCAACAAAATATATAACGATGTCCCATTTGCTACATTTTAGAGCTCTGTCCTTTTTTTCATCTACCCACCCTTTCGCCGGTGACTCACTACCGATTCATCTTAATATAACCTAAGCTACTGAGAGAATATTGAACCCCAATCAAACCAGAACAATACATATATAAATATTAATTTAAAACTCTAAACAGCTAAATTATCTTACACATATGCTAGAATTGATAGATTGATTCCTAAAATATTGTATCGCATCCAGATTGTTGTTATTGCCTCAATGTTTTTCATTGTTCTAGTTAAACTGACGCAAATTAAATTTCATTAACAAATTTAGCGTTTCCAGTCAGATCAGCAGGCGCTCACACGACTCTTATTTACAGCAATGCAATATCACTTACCTGGGCAATGATCTCGATGTATGTTTGTACATATCAATAAGGTAGAAATACTATTTTCAGAATTGTGAAACAGTAATACGTGAGCACTCGTGTACAATTTCTTGTTTAACACCACCGCCATCTCTCACAACGATTATAAGTTTAGGCTTCTGAGTTATCAGTTACGGCCCTCCTTTTCTATTCTGCACGTTCATTTGTCTTCTGTGATGTCTCCACCATACTCGATACTGCAGGGGCTACACTCACTTACGCTCTCTGTACCCCTGGAATATGTCATAGCAAAATTGAAAGCTCAGTGTGAACTACCTTGTTGATGGGACAACAAGACTAGTTCGATCCTTTGATATACATTAAAAGAATCTCGCGGTCGCGTAACGGTAAAACTTTATTGACTTTAAAGTCGGGTATCGCTCCTTTGTAACTCTCAAAGGACAGCTATCAGCCTAGCAATTGGTCAGTTTTTTTACTCGAGACCGATGAAACAGCTATCTTTGTACCTTCAAGTTTTCTATGACGTAATCCAGGGGGGCAGAGAGCGTAAGTGAGAGTAACCCCTGGTATCGAGGATGTGTCTCCATAGGCCCTCGGCCTAATAGCGTTTGTGGGGACGTTGCATTTCATCCTTTATCAGGTGTTTATTTGGTTTATGAGTCCAGTACATTTATGCAATCTATGATATACCTTAAAAACTGTTAAAAATAACAAAATCTCTATCATGTTAGTTAAATTTCACTATGTGTCCATACTCGCCTTGTTCGTTATTTAAAATATGACTTATTAATGTCTTTGAAAAACATAGCCGTTAAGCCATACATGAATTTCCTCTATACTTGCTCTTCTCAATTTAAATTATGACCATTACAAGGGCTCATTTGGTTTCTTTAAAAGTATTGAAAACAGCTTGAAACTAGAACTTCCTTGGAAGAAAGATCTCATTATTCATGTCAAAATTGTAATTCCTATATAAATGCGAGACAGTTATGAAGGCATTTTAAAATGTCTTACTTTTTCGAATTATAAATAAGTTTTAATGGCTATGTTAATACAACAACCATTTCAGGTTAAACAATTTACTACTAACTGTACGGGTACTCGAGTGGTAGGACGCCGGGCTCGTGACCGAAGGGTTGCTGGTTCGAGTCACGGCACTGTGTTATATCGTTGAGCAAGATACTTTACTCCACCTGTTCCAGTCTACTCAGCTGTAAATGAGTACGTGGTTGCGCAGGGCTAGAATTGTTGAATGCTAGATGTGAGCGCCGAAATGGCAGTACCGGCTGTATGCTCCCCAGGGAGTTTAGAAAGATATTGGCTGGTCGCAAAGGCCCTATAATCACAGATAATAATTTGTGATCCGCTTTGAGAGGACCTATGAACTAGGTTGTGATAAAGCGGTATATAAGAATCTCTAATTATTATTATTAATTGAACTGTTTGTTATTTGATAAACCAATTCATAAATTTGAAGTATTTGTAGTTGTTTTTACGGTTTGTTTAAAAGGCGAATCGTTATTTAAATCAATCTGCTTTGCATCCTTGAAACCAATCACTTAATTATCTATTATTATGTTTTGTCATTTTCATTATTCTAACGTCAAAATAGCGACAAGCAACGGCATGTGAATTGTTTCTTATACTCCCATGTGATCGCTTTGCAGTCTTCACCCCCCGGCAATTACATATTTTCGATACGCAAAGGTCGTTTGTTTGAATTTTTTATGTCCACGTTAGGTCATATCAAGGTCCTCTAAGTATAAGACGTCGCAGAAAACCCCGATGGCACAGGCGGACCTACACGAGTCGCAATTACAACATGTGATACAGCTGTTCTATTCTTTACCCGAACATGCACAGGGTGACCATATGCAAAAATCTGCATTATGATAAAATGAATGTGGGATAGGAAATTAAAACTAGGCTTTGTTTCTTTTCTTGAGATCAATTGCACATTATAAAGGTTATTTATTTGTAAATTTCCAATGTTATTCGGGGATTCATGATTACAATAGCACTTTCCAAAATATAATTGGAGTGAATATATGAAATGTATTGTATCAAATCCAGGTATGGTTAACTTCAAGAGTTACTTAGAAATAAATAAATGTTTCACTTAAGTCTTATTTCTATTAAAAAAACCGGAATCAAGGGCAAAAGTAGGAACATCTAAGCGTTGATCCCCAGCATAGGTAACATACATTTGGATATAGTCTGATTAATATGTTTTCTTTACAAAAAACGTTTAAATTCAAATGTCTGGTGAAAATGTGTTTCAGATTTGGAGATATCGCTATCTGAACTGTTGGGGTTAACTATCTCCAGCCTTGTGAATCCTAAAATGAGAAAAATATCCCGTAATAGTTGTTTCTCTTGGTGCGGGTCCTTGTCTCTCGGGGATCTGTAATCATTGTAAAGAAAACAAAACAAAAATTGAAAAAAAGAGAAGGAGAGAACAAAAAAGGAGGAAAAGAGGCACATTTTTTTTTTTATTAAAAATTGTATTGATATATTAACTTTCAGAAGAAATACAATAATGTATCACGCGCAGATGATCCCGTTTATATTATCAAGAATAAGCAAAAGCCGAGAGAGGATACCGAGACGGGTCAGATATATGGGGCAAAAATCGACGGTAAAACAAAGATGGCGTCTATCCAAGCCCAGATAATAATTGACCACAAATGATAATTACAATTTTTGTTTCACTGCAAAAGCGTATTATGTAAGTCAGATTGAAAAGAAGGTTTAAATATACAAATATACGAAACTAAAAATGGTATGTTATATCAACTGATTAGAAATTCAGAAAACACCTGGACGAGTGTGCGTTCGCGAGAGACGAAACAGGTTGCATCAAACAATTTTGCTATATGAATGATATACAAATTTTAAAATGTCACTTCGTCATATATTCGTGAATATATATTACACATTGTCATTAACGTAATAACAAAAAGTAACTATGAAAATGTATAATTATAAATAGTTTAGATCATAAAGGAAATTAAAATATTCATGTTGTGACTTGTTAAGTTGACCAGACTGAACGTTTGTGTAGCGACGTAACACTTACCGACAGAGGGAGTTGTTTATTGCCGTGTCCAATACAAAAATATGTCATTATTCTCGCGAATTGAAGCATTTTCTCACATTTTTCTCGACAATACTCACTACATGAATGTACATTTAAGTGTTTTCATTAATTTTATTATTCATTGCAATTTTGCGCCACTAAAATTCTGCATTCAAACGTTACTTTTCAGACAAAGTCAACAATATTTTCAACAAATATTGCTGCAAAGGTCATTATTGACATTGTTCTTGACATAAGCATACGAAGCGACTTCCATACTTTATTCATTTTGAGGAAAGTTATGAGCCCATTACAAAATATATACACTGACGTGACGCTGTATGAAATACCTTAATTTTTGAAAAGGTTGGTCTCCGGCTATATTTATTATAAAAAATCAAACCCAATCTCGATGTCTATCATGGCTTTCGTCATACTTATTTGTATTACTTTATTACGTTTTCTAGATTCGATAACTTATCTTTTATTCTTATAACGCATCTTATAATTATGATGCGGTGTTGTGACATAGAAATTAATCCTGGTCCACTACAAAACATAAATCTAGTTCATTTAAATATGAGGTCTCTTAGAAACTAAATACCCCTTATTGAAGCAGAGCTGGAAAATTCTGATATTGTTTGTATAACTGATTCCCATCTAGATAATTTAATATCTAACACTGACATTCACATGCACTCTTTTACTTCCTCTCCTTACAGAAAAGATAGATCTACAGGTCCAGTCGATGGGATTATTGTTTATTATAATAATACTATCATGATTAATAGAAGAATTGAATTGGTAAGGGATGATATTTAATTGATCTGGTTAGAAGTAATAATTAATTAATAATTAATCATTAATAATCACAAACTTTTACTAGGATGCATATATACAGACCTGATAGTAATGTTGATTACTGGAACAAACTAGATGATACTTTGACCAGAGCTACTGATACTTCAATGGATGTGGTACTCACCGGTGACATTAATATTGATATGTTAACCCTTCTACCTAATTATCACCTTTCAAGACTCCCTACTAAGCATAATTTATCTAGCCTTATTAATGAACCTACACGTATAACTCAAGAGAGTGCCACTGCCATTGATGTTATCTTTACAAACAACCGAAACATAATTAGAAATACGTATACATCACCACCCTTCTGTAATGAAAATCCTCTGTGCATGCATCAATTTTATTTAGTGTATTCAAACAAGCAAGTTATAAGAAAAGCATTTTAAAATATGAAGAAGGGGATTTTGAAAGTATGAATAACACTCTTCTTGATGTTGACTGGGTGAATCAGGACTCTAATACATTTAACAGTACCATAACTGATCTAATCATGGATCAGGTAAATGACCTTCATTCCTGTCAAAATAATAACAGTACGTTATAATGATAAACCATGGATGAACAACAACATAAGATTAAAAATGAGACAACGCAATAGAATTCACAGAAAGGCCAAATTAACAAATAGTCCTCACTTTTGGAACAGATTTCGGATTCTCAGGAATGAAGCCATTGACCAGATCCGGGAAGCTAAGTCAACTTATATCAAAACCCTTGTAAACTCTGTAAATGACAATAGGATTCCCCCAGATAAATGGGGGAAAATTGCTATCTCTAACTTCACCAATAAATCCAATTCCTCAAGCTGTTCACCATCCTATTGATAAAGCTGAGGTCCTCAATAATTACTTCATTACTATCTCCACATCCTCACCTGACCTCCCACTACGTCAGACAGCACAGCCAGCAATTCCTTATTCACTATCTACTATTAATATATCTGAACACGATGTTGCTGACCAAATTAATATTAGCCCCCTGGACCTGATGGAATTGTTCCCAAAATTGTTAAAAGAATGAATTCTTCTCTCTTAAATTACCCCTCATGATCTTTTTTGATAAAACACTAGAAACAGGAGTGGTTCCCAATAGCAAATATAAATGCAGTTTATAAGGGGAATGGATCATCAAATGATGTTTTAAACTACAGACATATTGCAGCAACTTTATGCTTTAGTAAAATAATGAAAATAAATGTGTTTAAATATCTTTATAACTACCTATTGGAGAACTCTATAATCACTAAGCACCAATCTTGATTTACACCAGGTGATTCAACAGTTAAGCAACTCTTGTTTATATATAATGAAATTGTTGGTAATATAGACAAGGGTAAGGAACTTAGATTTGTTTTCTGTGATATTAGCAAAGCATTTGAAAGGTTTTGGCATAAAAGTCTAATTCATCAACATAGGACATATGGTATTGGTGGAAATTTGCTTCTCTGGTTTGAAAATTATTTAACAGACAGAATGCAAAGAGTTAGCACTGAAGGATGTCGCTCTCAGTTGAGGACTATAAATGCAGGGGGTATCTCATGGATCTATTCTGGGGCCACTCCTGTTTCTTCTTTATGTTAACGATATTACTGACAATATTTCTACTAATATAAAACTTTTTGCAGATGACACTTCTCTGTATGTAATCATACAGACAAAAATCCAGTTCAAGCAGCCCAGGATCTCTCGAATTACCTTGTGACATTAGTGAGTGGGCATATATATGGGATATAAATTTTAACCCAAATAAAACTAAGTCAATTGTATTTTCTAGAAAACATAACCACGTACAACCCCCAATATCCTTCCAAAACAATCAAATAACTGATTCAAAAACACATAAACATTTAGGACTAGCTTTTACAGACGATACATCATGGAAACAGCACATACAGATTATATATGAAAAAGCATACACCAGATTAAATATTCTTCGTTATATCAAATCTAAGGTAGGTCGTAAATCATTAATTAAAATATATATTGCATTTATACGACCAATTTTGAATGCAGACATATTATGGGATAATTGCACCTTACAATCTATTGAATTACTTGGATCTGTACAACTAGAAGCGGCTGGGATTATAACTGGTCTTCGTTCAGG